GGATCCTTGAGTTGGAGTTTTTCAATTAGCATTAGTAATAAATATTTTTATTCTCAAGAATTTTGTTAAATGGTACTACTGGCCTACAGAATTAATCCAAATCGAATAAGCGATTAATCGATCTTAAAGGTTAAAGGTTCTAATGGTTGGTTAATGGAAGAGAAATTGGTCTACTAAAGACTTTGGTTTGGTTAAAGGAAGAGCCCTCTACCTTTCAAAACCGATCTGTGCTTGGGTCTACCATGAATTGTTAAGTTGACTTAACTCCTGTTAGATTTAGGGGGTGTGATTGTAATAAATGAACCTGTGTGGTCTGACTGTAATTATGTCAAATCTCAATGGCTCTAAGTGAAATTCTCCCTTGTTTTTATTGTTATCTCGGGTTGTGTGTTTCTTCGGTTGTACTGTACCCTTGTGTTTTCCTGGTTGGTCTTTTGACCTCGTTGTCTGTTCTTTGGGCTTTTGACCTATTTTTGGTTAATAATTTCATTTAATTAGCAAATTAAAAGAAAATCAAATTAGAGTACCAAAGTTGTTTCCCCAAGTTTTATTTGATATGTATAATGCATAATTAATTTGGATCTTGCTTGTAATATTTTCGACCTAACGAAAACCTAAAATATTACCTATATCAAAATTTTGAGAATTATTTTGATGCTTGTAATATATAACATTAGTTTTTTTTAATAAAGAAAATGAATAAAAGTATTTATAAAAACACCAAATTAGGTTTAAAAAAAGAGAAATGCTCTCAAATAGCACTTATCACTATATCGATATTACCTCAATATGCTATTTAAAATATTGATAAATATTGTGTCTCAATAAATTTTTTATTTTATTTTGTCTATATTGTTAAATTATAAGATAAATGTTTATTTGAAATTTTACTAAAATACGGTGGTATTTGGGGGCATTTCAAGGAAGGCCAAATTGTAAAAGTTAATTTGGATGAAGAAGCCAAACCAAACGAAGGAAAACAGAGAAGAAACAAAATGCCCCGTCTTTGAACCTTTCCTTTCTCTCTCCATAATCAAAATTTAATTGGGTGGAAACAAAAACATGCAGACTCAATTGTGCACTCCTGTACTTCAATCAATCTGCCCAAACAGGTCCAATGGGTTTCGAGTTTTAGACACATAGAAATCAAAACTCACAACGCAAGAGAATCACCGGAAACTCACACCATGGAAGGTATTGTTGTTTTCCTCTCTATCTAAGATCGTTTTTGAGATATGGGTTTTCTATTTTCTGATTGATTTGTGTGAATTTTTGCATTGCATTGTTTGTTTGTATTTGGGATTATCCTGTATGCATAGAGAATTTGTTCTAATGGTGAAGATGTTATCTAGGTTTTATTTATTGGCTTCTTGGTTACTGAGAAACTTACAAAAGGAAAATGGAGTTTTCATCATGTTGTTTTCTGTTTCCTACTGTATAACAGTACCAATACTAGTCGAGTCTATTGAGAAAGGAGATGGAGAAGAGTGTAATATTTCATTTATCTGCCATTAGCCTAATATATTTTTATATAATTTCAATGCTTTAAGTTTCCTACATTTCTTATTAGACACAATATTAGGCCTTAGGGTTTTTTTGTTTTTTTTTCTTTCTGAATTTCGTTAGTCTATCGGCACAAAGGTGATCGTAACATCATTAATCACCAAGATATGGAAATCTCAGGAAAGGCTTAAATTTTGTAGAGATGATGCCCTTAATATATTTTTTGGGAGTTTTGTTCGACTTTATCGATTCTTCTGCAAATGCTATGGTTAATAGTGTAAGGTGTTGTCCTTGTTTGAGTATCAAATGTTCTGGTGTTTGATTAACAAACCTCAAGTAATTAGATTTGCTATGATTGAATTGGAAAATTTGTTTCCAAACAAGAAAGTTTACAATAAAAAAAAGGGAGTAACTGGTTAGTTGGTAGATTAATATATGGAAAAGTGAGGTAAGTGCAGATGGTATCACATAAATTTTGCTGAAGTTAGTAAAAGGAAAAAAAAGCTATCCATTTGTAAATATTTTAATGGCATATAATATGGATAGATGGCAATATCAATTAGTTTAACTTAAGAAAAGCCTATGCTGATAAATAAATTAAAAAAACCTTCAAGAAAGTTTGTGAAATAATGTTCTTTAGGTACGTAACCATGACCTACGTACATGTACAAAATTTATGTGAAATCAAGCTTGTGAAAGAGACGCTGTTAGGCATGCAACCATGACCTGTGTGCATTTAAAAACTGGATTTTACTCACTGGGGCACCACTTGACTCATTGGTCAAGGCTGTGGAAGGGACTCGTGCGAAACATAAGCTTCAGTACTTTTTTTTATTGAAGAGAAGATAAGCTTCAGTACTGTCTGTTTTAGAAATTAGAATGCCCTCCTCTAAGAGTCCCACTAGTTGATCTAGGGGATCAAGCAACTCTATTAGAATTATGCATGACCACCTTATTTGCCGAAGTTAAGGCAATCGAATGTACTTCTTTAAGACTGGAGCTGCTATATTTGTATGTTTGGATTTTATTATGAAGAAGTATGTTGTATACTTGTTTGTATGTTTGTGAAACTTGAGTTAAATGTTTTTTAGTTCAAGAATAGCAATGCTTTCAAATGCGTTTGTGAACTTAGGCATTTTTGCTGAATGGTGTCTAGTTTTGGAAGATTTTGTTCTAAAGGTTCAGTTAAACCTGTGATCATGTAGAAGATTCCTGCAACCTAGGAAGGAAGGAATTGCATATTATTCCCACCATTTTATATTTCTCTTAGAAGGTCTTTCTTATATGTGGCGATTGTCTTATTCTTTGTTGTCTCCAATAAGAAAACAATATATAAGCATAGCCACACCTATAATAATCTTAATGAAGAAAGTTATTCATGTGAACATTATTGCAAGAATAACTTTGCAAGAGTTCTCAATTTCATATTCATAGTCTTTGGCATTGTTGAGTCACAAAGTAACCATTCTTAGCTTCTTTCTCACCCTCCCAGGTTGTTTCTCACTTAGGGGAAATTTAAGTGATATAGAATTTGTAGAATTTTCACATGTGCTGAGAGGAGATATTGGGCTATTCAGGGATCTGGGGTTATCTCTTGTAAATCTTTTTTCTTTCATTGCTAAACAATCCGAAGCATCCCACCTTTGATCCTTGTAATATAAGTTGAGATATCGGGCTATTCAGGGATCTGCGGTTATCTCTTGTAAATCTTTTTTCTTTCATTGCTAAACAAAAGAATCCCACCTTTGATCCTTGTAACATAAGTTGCAAATCTTTGGTCCCTACCAAAATGTCCAGTCACTTGCTTGGCTGGTGGCTCATGGTAACATTAACACATGTGATATGCTTCAAAAGAGCAGGAAATACTCTTCATTATATCCTCATTGGTGTGTGCTGAGAAAAACTCCCCCTAACGTCCCAAATCTGGAGTAGACTAATCCTGGCTTTTGTTTTGGAATGGGTAGGAATTGATACTCTTTTCCATATGAATTCTATCTGGGGAGGGAATTCAAGAAGAAAACTGTTACCCTCTGGCGATGGGCCGTTTTGGCTCTATTTGGGTGCTTTGGTAGCAAAGGAATAGCAGAATCCTTGATAATAGAGAGGAAAATTTGGCTCCATCCTGGGACATAATTCTCTATCATGCTTCCCTGTGGGCTTCCTTGTCTAAGAAATTTAAGGATGCCTCTTTAGTAGAATTCATCTGGATTGGGCTGCTTTTTTGGACTAGGTGTGTTAATTTGTTTTGTAAAGACTGGGGCATGTTTTTTTTATTTTTATTTTAGTGGGTGGGTGTGCTCTTGATGGACTTCTTGTCCATCATGCTTTATACTTCTCTTTTCTATCATTAATCATTAATATCTGATAATATTAATGGATGCAAAATAAGCATGAATCTGATAATATCTGCTGATATAAAGATCACTCGGCGGTGGGGATGCCACAAAATTCTGTAATTATTTTCCAAGGAGGGATACAAACAAGAGGAGTGTATATGTTATCTGTGTCACTGAGTATTTACCCGACATGTTGAATTTCGTTTGTCATGAAGGTGCCGTCTTGCTTCTTGGTAAATTCTTCGCACAGAATCCTACCTTCACAGGGGATTTTATTTAGAGCTGGAGGGGGAAGATGATTGGAGAGAGCTAGCCCCCATTCTATTTCCCATAGTTTGATTATGGTAGGCAGGGATATTGAAAATCTAGTTGAAGTTGAGAAACTATTTGTTATACGAGTTAAATGTTGAAAATTAGAATCATTCCCTGATCTCGGTTATTTTGCACGATTGCTGGTGGGAAGATTAAGCATAGGTGGTAGTGGATCATATGTGGAAGTCATCATTGGTCACTTTTTAGGTCATTTATACTACAAAGAAGATGGCGACTTTCCATGTGAAGGATTTGTTAAATTTGATTGAGGCTATGGTGGGGAGCGAGCGTACTTGGTTTCTCATCTTTAATTTGTTGTTGAAATTTTTTCTCCTCAACAATTAAGGAGGAGAGATGTGGTAACTTGGTACATAATAAAGATTTTTTCAGGTTAGTCTTGGGTTTAAAGTCAAACTTGTCTAAGAGTGTGCTGGTAGGAATCAATGTTGAGGAATGACTCTTGGTGTTCTTATCCCAGGGAGTGGGTTGTGAGATAGGTGAGTGGCCTTTGAACTGTTTGAGACTTCGGGGACTACTCCGTGTATCGTTTTGGGCTCAGTGTAAATATTTTTGCATGCTTGCTGGTGGGATTCAAAAGCGATTGTCAGAGGTTCAAGCTGATGTCCTCGGAGAGACCTTTCTCAAGGCTTTGGTGTTTAATCTTCTATTTTGGGAGAATGGGGAGAGGATCTGTTTTTAGAGATAAATGGGTTGGGGATCTCCTATGTGTGCCTGTCGTTCCTTTTTCAATAGAGTTCTTGTTTCCTATATAAAAAATCGGGAACCATGAGGAAAGTGTCGTTGGTGCTCCAATCATATTAAGTGGAGATGCCAATGAATTAGAAAGGGATGTTTTCGAAGAGTAGAAGTAAAGGATTTGAAGGAACACAGTATGTATTCTTAACAGAATGTGTAGTCCCGACTTAGAAATGGTGAAGGATTCTTGTGACTGAACTCAAGTAATATGGAGGAGGTTATGTTGAGTCTTATATTCATACCTGGAAGCTGATTGGGTATTAAATATGTTCTGATAGATGTATATTATCCTGTCATTAATTTCATTTTTTGACTAATATATCCGCTTTCACTATTTGGTTGATTTTTAGAATCAAATGAGCTGCATTCTGAGGAGAATAAAACTTCCCAAGATAATAATAAGAAAAGAAAGCTGAAGACACCAGCCCAGCTTATGGCTTTAGAGAAATTTTATAATGGTAAGGATTCTTGTCTTGGCATATCTTTTGTCTTGCTCAGTTTTGAGTCATCAAATTTCTCAAAGGAAAATTCTTCTTTTTCCAGAACATAAATATCCTACAGAGGAAATGAAATCACAAGTTGCGGAGCAGTTAGGATTGTCAGAAAAGCAGATATCTGGATGGTTTTGCCACAGAAGGTTAAAAGACAAAAGATTGTCAAGAGATGAAACTTGTGCTAATGGACGGCAAGATCGTTCAAGTGGTGTTATTCAGGATCGAGCTAGTGGACTTGGGCAAGACTCATGTGGCAGCACTAAACATGGAGATCATAGGTATGTTGATCCAAGGGAGGTTGAAAGTCGAAGGCTTTCTGGGCATGATTTCCCAGCTGCAGATATTACCCGTGAGTATAGGAGTCGCTATACCGAAAGAGTTGGTGGCATGGATAATACATCTTCAGAAAGTAGCTCGTCTTTACAAGATAGGTTCTTTACTCAAAATGAGGATCCGTATGATGTGGAAACTTCTAGATACCTAGCGCATAATGGAGTGTTTTCACCCATAAATCCCAGGGGCACAGAGAACATGGCATATAAGCCCGCAGGGTATTTGAAAGTGAAAGGTGAAGCAGAAAATGCTGCTATTACAGCTGTTAAGAGGCAACTTGGGAGACATTATCAGGAGGATGGTCCCCCATTAGGTGTAGAATTTGATTTGCTTCCTCCTGGTGCATTTGAATCCCCGATTATGGATTCAGTCCATGGTATGTCATAATATAGTTTCTGTCATAAGAACAAATTTCATATTCCATGAAGTTAGTATTCTGAGAACAGAAAGCTTGATTACCGTTTTTTTAGATCTTTTTACTCAGCTTGTATTGATGCTCTCATATTATTAATTATATTTCTTTGGGTCAGCATCGTACAAATAGATTGTGAGGTATGCTTATGTACAGGAGATGATTCTCTTTTTGGCTCAAGCAGAGAACTGAACAAACTGTGAGAGAGTGTAAATGTTGCATTGAGAGAGGACATGATGATGGTTTATGAGAGAAAATGTGTAGTGATTGGTGTGTAGTTGTTATTTTTGTTATCTGCTTTGTGCATAGGTGATGCAAATATTATCATTTTGTGTATAATCAGTGAAACAAGATTTTTAAGGTGTTTGACATTTTATTGTATTATTTTACAGTTTCATGAAGAATATGCAAGTTGTTCTGTATGGAAGGCAGATGTTTATATTTACCTGATTCTACTGGCACATGGCTTTGTCCAGTGAAGTAGCATAAACTTAGAAATCTTGAACTTCATTGTAGAGCCTGTAATTTAATCTAATGTTTTATAATATAGCTTCCTGAAGATAAATTTACTTAAACTTATGCTTTGAAGCAGTGTTAAAATTTACTAGCTAGGCTTTTGAAACATTGAAATAACATAAACTAGCCCTCTCACAAGTGGTTGAGTTTGCTTTCCTATTTTTTGTCTTCTATTTATTTATTTTTTTCTAACACTTTTTTATCACATGGGTAGTTGGAGGAAAGTGGAGTAATTGCCAGATTAAGTGGACTTTTACTGGCAGTGTGAGTTAGAGGTAGTTTTGTAAGATTCACATCAAAAGACAAGAAAACTGTCCTAATAAGATAAGGCTATAATTTGTTTCTTCAAGGCTGTGTTTTCATGGTAGGTTGTGGAGTTAGGGTCAGATTTTGGGAGGATGACTGGAGCCGGGGCGGTGTTTTGAAAGAGGTGTTTCCAAGACTTTTCAATTTGTCCAGGAAGCAAAACCACAATATTTCCTCTTTTACGGGCTCGGATGGGTTCCCTCTCAGCTGGGATTTTGGTTTCAGGAGGAATCTCAATGAATTGGAGATAGCGGAGGCGGCTAGATTGTTGGATTTATTGGAGGGTGTGAGGTTGATCACTTCCAGATTGGATAAGAGAAGATGGAAGCTTGACCCCTCCGGTCTATTCTCCTGTCATTCTCTCTGTTCTCATATTCAGAATAGTGGTGAGGGGGAGATCTTCTCCCCGTACACTCAAATTTGGAAGGCCAAGATTCCGCCGAAAGTTAAGATCTTTGTGTGGCAAGCGGTGTTGGGAAAACTAAATACAGGTGATACACTACAGAGACGCTACCCCTATTTGTGCCTTAGCCCTCACTGGTGTGCTCTATGTAATAAGGCAGGGGAGACTGTGGACCATCTCCTTCTTCACTGCCCTTTCTCTCTAAAGTTGTGGGAGACACTACTGAAGGAAGTTAACACGGTGTGGGTAATACCGGAAGGCTGCTTTGAACTTTTTTCCATCAGATTTGATGCTTTGGGAAGGGGAAAGAAAGCTAAATTTCTCTGGGGTAGTCTGATGCAGGCAGTGGTTTGGAACCTATGCCTGGAACGTAACAGGAGAATCTTCGAGGATTATAAGGGAGTGGGAGTGGTAGAGTTATGGGATAGAGTGAAGTTTTGGGCTGCCCTTTGGGCATCAACTTCCCTTGCTTTTAAGGATGTACCCTATCCTACAATTATGCGCAATCTGCTGGCTGTAGTATCTTAAGGGGTTGTTTTATGTTTGGTTGTTTAGTTCTGTGTTGAGTGGTCTTGTGTCTGTTTCACCGGCTAGTGTTTTTTCTTTTTATCTGTGTTCTAAATGCCCTTGTTTTGATCCTTACAAATTTGAATAAAAATGTTTCTATTAAAAAAAAAGAAAAAAAGAAAAAGGTGTGTTAACGAATAAGTAGTAGTTTGTAGAAAGAGAAAAGTGTGGGTAGAGAGGGAATCCCCTTTCTATAGTAGTGTAAATATAGAGAAGACGTGTGCGTGGATGTGAAGATTCTTAATATCTAGTGGGGTGAAGGCAGCCGAAGTACATACAACATAGATAGAAGCTCTGATTTGAATATGTATGTGAGTTATATATCTCATATCTGTGCAAATATGTTTTGTTTGATACGTCATTGTACTAATGATGTTTTATGCGTATACAAATCAGCAGTATTCCAATACTTCATGCTTTGAACTTTATTCCTTGATACGGTTCTATTGTGATCAAGCCTTTTAACTTTGTCTTTCTGCATTCTTCAATTCTCTTACCATTTTATCTTTTGGTTTCAGTTGTTAGAGTAGTTACAAAAGCCTGTGTCAGTTGGTTAGTCAGGCCCAAGAAGTGGTGACTGGACCTATAGTCTAATTTATTTCTTGTGGTGGACAGGGTGATGGTCCGGTCAAAGTGTAATAGAAACTGAATTATTGTGTTTGAGAGAAGATGAACTGGTGCCTTGGGCCCTCCATTATTTTAGCTATTCTTTACAGTAATTATTTCAATGTGTCTAGTGTAACATTTTCTTCTGTAGTTTTTCCTCTTATTTACCTGTAATTGGAGCACTAACGTTTTGACCTACTCTCTGAGTGGTTTGCTATAAATTCCAGGTTTAATAAGGGGCCTTACAGTTTAGACTGGGGGAAAGAGAGGGGTGGTGAACTCCCCTACTCATTTCGTGTTGGATATCGGTGTTTATCTTCTTGTGTCTTGTTTGCCTGATTTCTGTCATGCATTCTCTTTTGAAGCTTTTGGAACCATTTCTTTGCATTTGTTTCAGATTTTGATTCATCTTGATCTCGGTAGATATGATGGTTAGACTAATAGCGTACAATGTGTGTGCAAATGCGAAATTGTAGGTTTAATAGTTTGTATAGTGTATTTCTTGTGATTCTACTCTAACTATTTAGATATTTTTAATGTTAATGAATATGGAACTTTGTCAGGGATATATGATATCATGGAGAATATTGTTAACAAGGAATGCAATGGGAAGAAAAAAAAATTTCATCAAACCACCAAGCTGCTTACTTTTTCAAGGAAAACAAAAAATAACCGAATTGCTCTATAGGCATTAGCACATCAGTCTTTTTGCTGTAATTTTCAATGCGTGTTTAGTCTGGGAGTTCATTATTTTCTATGCATGCTTGTTAACGAACCTAAAAAATTGTTTCCCCCTCTCTTTTATTTTGAAGTTATACTCTAGAGGAGTATGATTTGCTTTCATTCACATTCTTGAGTCTTTTAGTAGTTACCTGGAATGTTTATTTGAATATTTATATATTCCGGAAGTGTATTCTTATTTATTTTTTGTTCAATGCTATGCAGAACCATCCATTGTTGGGAATCCTGTCCTCCGTTCTCCTGACATTTCTGGAGTGAAGGGGCAACTTAGTCCAAGAACTGTAAGTGGACCTTCTGATGCATTTGTGTTATATTTGGACAGATCTAGTGGGGGAAAGGGTGTGAAAATTTCATGGCATAGCTAATTTATTTGTTTATTTCAATTATAAAAGATAATAATGGCAAGGAAATTTTATCTAGTCAATTGATATTGATTCTGAATGCTTAGGTGCCAGTTATTCTTCAGAAATCAATTTTTTCTACAGAATACCTTTCTAGATGAAATAATGTTATTAGTTTTTAAGTCCAGATTCAGAGTCTGGCCACATTAGTCTGACAAGAGAACAATTATTATTATTATTTTAAAGGAAAGGATGAAATTTTATTTCACAAAAGAAACTGAAGAAAACATTATGTGCGCTGGAGGGGGATACCACCTGCTCCTGTTTCCCGGGATGTGAGAGGCGGTGCTTATGTATTGCCAGTCGACTGGGCTCTCACATCCCGCAAAAGGGTATTCTGATCCTTTGTTTATGTGTGTTCCTTTCAGAACCAAAACATGTAAAGGCTTTGTTAAAAAAATTCTGTGGGACATCCTTGTGATTTATCATTCAAAACTATTGTATGCAACTTCATCATCTTTGATAAATTCGAAGTTCTGAATTTTAGAATCTCAAATCTCTTTGGTCATTTCCCTTAGGCCCAGGTGCGAGCCATGTTCTGTTATGGGTTGAGGTAGAGAGAGAAGATTGTTCTACTTTTGTTACTGCCTATTTTGTAATTGTTATATTATAGGGTAGATTACATTTTTTACTCACATAAACTATAGCGTCATTTTCACTTTGGTGCATGACAATCAAAACCTTACAATGCCGTACCCAAAGTTTGTGCCATCTTTGAATTTCAAACTTCCATTAGTGTCTCCATCAATTTAGTCATTTTCTGCTGATGTAGAACTAGTGGGCCCCACAAATTTTGATAAAGATTATGCGACGTGGGAAAAAATGATTATAAAAAAAAGCCAAATAACCTTTTACATCTTTAAAAAATTGAGAATCAGATAAGTAATTGAAAGATTTAAAGATAAAAATTAGAAACTAAACAACATAAAAGGAAAGAAACCCAATCTTCCCCAATTCTCTTCGACCCTCATCTCCTCCCTTCTCCCTCATCTATCCCATGGCGGATCTGCCATTGCAGATGAAACCAAACCCATCTTATCTCTAACGCCTAATTAAGAGTCCAAACAATATATGCTGCACAGCCTGTTGGCTACAAGACCCAAATCAAACCCGTTATCACTAATCCAATGCTGTCAAAACTGGCATTATTGGGTTTGGAATGTTGGCCAGAACTTCTTTTGGTGTCGGGTCTTTAATTTGGTGGATGGGTCTTAGTGAGCAGCACCTAGATTTTTTCCTTTATGGCCCCCCATATTCTGCAGGTTCAAAATCTGGCAGACCGTACTGTACCATAATCTTCTCTATCTTCAGTGCACCACCATTGCTGACTGTAGATGTGTGCCAGCTGATACAAGCCATGCCACCTGCATTGCATTATCATCACCATTTCTGTGAACCCTATCCTTTACTTCCAAATCCTCTTCACCCTCTGAAATGTAAAACAAAAGGCCCCAAGATAGAACTACTACGACATTTCTATGAACCGTTACATCTCCCGGATCTTGGCTGGTCCACAACCCTAGTACTTCCTCTTCCAACTCCTGGATCTTGGCTGGTGCACAACCCTAGTACTTCCTCTTCCAATAGAATCACATCCACATTCTTAAGCCCAAACCACTTTATTTATTTATGAATTTATTTTTAGTTTGTCTTGACATGACATATAGCCAAATTGCATTTGCATAAGTTAAAATTATAATTGCAAGTTTGGATTAGCACAACTTACACCTCAAGTAAACAAAATATCTCTGCTTTAATTTTTGTTTTTCATTTGTCCGTAACTGGAATGCATTTTTCTCCTTCCCTTTTGTGATATTCTTTCCACCTTTTGATGCCCTTGCAGAGATATGAAGTATACAATTCCAAGTTCAGTTCCCAGGATTCGTATATACAGCAGGAAAATCCTTGCATCATGCATGGGTTTGATCTTCAGGAGAAGAAATCTAGCAAAAAATTGAGACAAAAGTCTACTTATATCAACCACACAAATTCTTCTCCTGGAAAGAACTCTTCCTTGGATATTTATGATAAATCTGTTGGCAGAACCTCTGCTTATAATACCAATAGGAAAGATAAAATGAGATCTAAGCGGGGTCACTCTGGTCGGAAAGTTACTAGTGAACAAACAGAGCCTTGTTTACATGAGTATGATAGAGTTAGTAGCCCCAAGCTTGTCCAAAGGAGTGATTATTTGAAGCCAAAGCCTTCGAGTTCTATAGTTAAGCGTTCTGAGACCCTATACCTTTCAACTTATATGCTCTATTATTCAAAAACTCCCATATGGAAAGTACTTGTCTTGTGACTGTTTTTAATTGCTATGTGTGCCAGGAGAACCTTGATGGAGAATGTAAGGCCATGAAAGTCTATAGCAATCCACTTAGAGTATGATGAACTCTACTGATGAAATGGTGGTGAGTTTGAAATTTGGTGGGACAATGTTAATATGTATGTGTGGCATGCATACATGAGTACATAGAACTTATGAATGTTTTCTCATTTGCTTTTTGTTCACATCCTTTTTCCTTATTGATGTAGGTTGCAAAACAAGACAGAGTTAATCTCCCTCAACGAGATTATTCGACAAATTCGTTTCCTCAACTGCCACCTCGTAAAAATCAGATTAAAGGGTTCGTATAACTTCCTCAATGTGCATGTGCCTACAGTTATGTGCGCAAATGTGTGCTTGTGGGCTTGAGTGTCCTCCATGTGATTTTGGTTGTCAATTTGTGCTTGTCTTGTTTTCACTTTTGTTTTTATAAAAGAATAATAATAATTACCAGGGATTTATTTTCTCTTTTGACTGCTTAAGTTTAGGCTGCAAAAGCCGCATTTTCCCCCTGAACCAGTTTAAATAATGTTAGTTTTACATGTAAGAGTTAATATACAGAGGCTGTATATGGCAAGCTATTCTAGGTTAGACTGTTATCTTTTCCCAACTAGCAGCGGAGTGATTTGCTTCACTTTCTTGGTCCAGTTACAGTGGCATTTCCCTTTGCCATGATGACATGCTGTTATTTGCAGTATATTATGTTTGGCATTATACTTGAAACATCTGGCAAACTCTTTATGAGGCCCTGACTTCGATGAAGTGATTCTTATCCTTAAGGTGGGCGAGAATAGCATTAGAATGAAGCTTTCACGGATTGGAATCTTGACCTTCTGCTTCATCAAAGTTTTACCGAATTTAGGTGCATGAGACACAAGAACAATTTCCTACTTCCTGAATACCGTCCTAGTAGAAAATAATTTTTTTGTTTTTGTTTTCTGTTTTTGGATTATATCCTTTTGAGGATGAACAAAGTATTACTATGTCCATGTTGCAAATGTAATAGCATCAATGACTGAAATTAATTGCCTACATAAATATTTGATGGATCCTCTGTGGCTATCCGCTTTCTGACTGTATTATGCATCATTTAGAACTGCTATGGAGATGCCATCCAGCTTCAGTGAGGATGAAACTGCAGAAACCAATTCTTCTGTGGATTGAGGATCCCGCAATTGAAGGATGGAAAGCTGGGAGGGATTCACAAGGGCCTTTGGTTGTACAGTTGAATAGAGCATGTATTCCATTTAAGCACATCAGAAGTACTATATGCGGCATTGTTATCGTCAGCAGCAAAATGCAGTAGCTGGCCTGTTTTGCTCTTCCAGTGATCATTTGTTAATATGTGTAGTAATAATTTTTGTACACAATCTTAATTGGTCTTGCATTATGGTGAGTGTGATAGAGGTGACAGTAAGATTGTAAATCTTCTGTGTCTGGATCTGCTATGTGTATGGTCTTTAGAAGGAAAGCTCATCCAACGCAAGTTACTGCTTTTATTGTTGGTTAAATGATGGCAGAGCTTTCTGCAACAACAAAATTTGGCTTGCTTTAATTTATGAAGAGAAGAAACGGGTTGTAACTTGTTAATGGTTCCCGGTTCATGCATTATGGTGGAGGAATTAACTCATGTAGCAGATACATGATTTCTCCATTGAAACTTTTGTAGCAGATACATGATTTCATTAAAGTTTTTTTGATTTTTAATCTGCATGTATGCATGACAGTTCTTTTCTTCAACTTAACTACCTGCAGATATGAACAAATTAGTGAAATATCTGCTAATTGCTAATTACTTTGAACAGGGGTTGTGGAAACAACATTGGCCTGCACATTTTCTCAAACGAAGTGGCAATCCACCTCAATATGTTTGGTTCGCCCGTGAAAAACTGGGTTTGAAGCAAGCTTGATTATCACGAAACTATTTTGTTAGTTAAGTCAAACCAGATCCTAATTCTTGTAATAAGCTTACTGCCTCTATCTATAGGCGTTTCTAATGGTTTGACTCCCAATTTTCCAGTTGCTTTTAACAGATCCAATAAATATTCTTTTTATTTATTTATAAGAAATATGCCCTTTTCGAGTAGGCAATTTCCAATCCAAGAAAGTATCTTTGTTAGCAATTTGCTTGTGTAACTAATCTTTAGCTATGAAATTTCATCTTTATCATCTCTAGGTCATCGACGTAAACCAAAACAATAGTAGCACCAGAGAAGCATCTGCAACACTTCCTTTTTAGCCCATCGGTAAGAACTGAACTTCTCTTAGCATACCACAATCACAGTGACCGTTTCAGTCCATATATAGCCGTTCTTGCGGTTGACCAGGAGGAAGGGGTGGGCATCGGTTTCGGACGAAACCGGAACACGGAGCCGCACCAAACAGAAAAAATTGGAAAAAAACCCTGTTGACTAAAAAACAGCACCGAATCGGACTGAATTGGTTCAAACCGATTCCAGTGCCGGTTTCACACCTTATAAAATCAGACTGGACCGAACTGGACAAGCCGTGTATTTTTTATATATTTTTAAAAAATATTTAAGTTCAATGCTAAATTTCTAATCTTATAACTAATATTTTCCCAAGCCCAACTTCAAAACACCTCTCTTTTTTAGCATGAAATTGAGTCATTTGTGAATTTTTAAGCCCAAATAATAAAAATATTGTTGGAATTTGTATAAATAAATAAAATATTTTGAAAAAAATATATTATAAAATCCAGTCTAAAACCGAAAACAGCAGCGAAACCGGTTAAAACCTGACTGGTTTCATATTTTTTTTTCACCAAAACTACACTAAACCGCACCAGTTGAATAGTATTGGTTGCGATTCCGGTGTGAATTGGAAACTGGACCGGACCGGACCTCGCCCACCCCTACTAGGAGGTACCCAGATATAGACTCCGTCTTCTAGGTCACCATGAAGAAATACATCTTCGACATCCATATGAAATAATTTATACTCTTGATTTACCGGTAGGATAAAAGAACATGGAATGTATTCATCTCTGTGGCTTCAACCAGCTCCATATATTTATGGATGTGGTTGCAATGCTCCGGTGGGCTTAACCATTTAGAGACTCTTTTTTACTCTATTGGGGATGGGTTTTTTAGCATGAGTTGTTAATATAACTTGCAGGTTGAGCCCCATTTAGAGCTCTCATTGGGCTTGCCCTAAGAGAGTCTTAAGCCATAATTTGCACAGGACTGCTTATGCCAACAAGGAATTGGCCCATCTTTTGTTTTCCTTTTTCCATAAAAAATAAAACTGGCATTCCTAATTCGTTATGTTATATATAGAAAAATATATAGAAGTTTGTTAAATAAAAAAAAAAAAAAAAAAAAAAAAAAAAAAAAAAAAAGTTATGAAACTCAGTTTTGTACGTTCACGTCTAAATCCAGCAATAGTAGTCTTCCACTGTTTTAATTTTCTTTAAAAGGAAAAGGGAAAAAGCAATCAATTCTAGTTTTCACCTTAAATTTTCATGTAAATTAATTTCAAAATGTTTCTTTTTACATATTAATTATGATATAGTATTCATGATCAAACGGTAGCAGAGGTAGCCCTCAAACATAATATTTCTGCCAGTAATACGCACTTGAGTTTGGGTTTAAATGATTGCGTATGATGAATAGAAAGAATAGAATCTTAGAATTTAGATTGAGATGTTATAATGTAGGGGATGAGGGTTTGTTGTGGCATCACTCATTCAACACTAATTAGTATTTTCATTTCTACTAAAAAGAGAATTTTAGGCCTTGTCTTTTTTGCAGAACTAGCTTGGGCATGACTAATTATAAGTACTATCTAGAATGGACTTGGCTTGGACTAATTCATATCCTATGTTTTTGTGGGGTGCTAGTTAGAGTCAATGGGATTGTTCTATCAAACACGAGCAATGCTAGAGAGACCAACTGATGTGATAGTGTATCGTTGTTTTATGTTTATATTTACTCTACGTTATTTATTCATAAAAAATAAGAAATTGTCACATCAATTGGTAACTCAAAAATTGATGTGTTCCGTTAAGCATTCGTCTATTTTGGTAATTTTGTTAAACAGATTTAGGATCTAGTCCTCTTTTTTACTTTATGTGGGACTGGGAGTGTAAAACCGTCCATTAATAAGGGGCAGGCAATAATCCCAATTATGCGTATCTAGTCATTTCCTTTTAGCGGACCACAATTCAGGCAGCAGAGCAGCTGAAGAATCGTACTCAAACTTAGTTGGAAAAAAAGGGTGTGCTTTGCTTTGCGTATTATGTTTGGCTATAAACATTGAGATTGAGGGAACGTGGGATGTCTCTCTTCCCTTGACTTAGAGTCCAGTGTGGTGCCATCTTTTAGGTTAGGCCGACTTCAAATCAATAATATATTAAAGGTCAATCAATAATTCATCTGTGAAGGGCATAACCGTCAGATACCGTTCTATTAGCCACCATGACAATTCTTAAACCACACCACACGAAAGATACCCTTCCAATATATATTCTGGATTTAAAAAATAGACGGTTTGTATGATTGGATCATTGAGAATGAATGCATATGTGTTGAGAAGAGAACTTGTCAGCCACTTTTTAATTATACCCATCTACATCTAAAGCAATTTAATAAAAGTTTTTCTATAAATTGAGGATAGTCAATGAAATTTAAAAGAACTAATACAAACCTAAAGTCAAAATAAAATATGCCATTCAACCTTTTTATTTTTAAATTAAAGCCATGAAGGCAACTGAATTAATAAGAGAAAATGTGCATCGACTTGGAGTGTTGGGGAAAAGCCAAGATGGCCCCTCTTCTATCCCTACAAGCCTCTCGTTATAATTCAAACCAGATAGTGCTAACCTATGAGCTGCTTTATTTATAAATTTGTATTATTTCAAATGCATGGTGTATAACTCATCGTGATCCCATGTTTATAAAATCCCTATATCAATGAAATATTTCATGTTTTTATTCTTTGAACATTCCAAAACATATGTAATGCAATTCTAATAACTTGTAATATATGATCCACCCATGTAGCCTCCAAGGTAGCTTACCTTATAATTGGGAGAAATATATTTGTAACTTCTTCAATCTTCATTTTAACAAAAGCTATATTAGTCTATGACATACATGATTCAAAATTAAACAAAATATTTACAACATAGAGTTATCTATCTATTTTTTTTCATTACGTACGTACTTTTACCGGTAAAGGACTTCTAACTCAAGTGATTAAGAGCATTTACCCATGTATACAAAGTCTTGTGTTAAAATCCTCCCTCACCTAATAACGCTCAACAACAACAACAACAACGACAACAACA